CCCCCGCCGATTGCGGCGCGCTGCCCGACGGCGGCGACCACACCCGGACCGAACGACCGGTCGACCCGACCCGGGCGACCGCCCGCCCGGCCGACCCCGGCCCGACGCCGCCGACCGCGCCCGGCGCCGCAGGTGCGGCGGGCACCGCGTGACCGTCGGTCGACACACCCGAGCCGGTGAAACGGTGCGTCACTCAAGATCACTCCCTGTGCTCAGATCACCGCTTCACGGGGTCGACACGCGCCATGGTTGAGTCGCGCACCACGAGGTTGCTCCGATCGAGGACGCCTGCCTAACCTGACGTGGTCCGTTGAGGTGAACGAGGTGAGCATGGATCAGGTCCCGCTGATCGTGCTCGGCGCCGACCTCGACGGCCTCGTCGCCGCCCTCGCCCTGGCGCACCAGGGCTTCCCGGTACGCGTCCTCGAGCGTGGCGGCCGCGGCGACGCCGGCCCCGACGTGGCCACGCTCACCCCGGCCGCGATGCGCGAGCTCTCCGTGCTCGGGCTCGCCGAGCACGTCCAGGCGCGCGCGGCCGAACCCGTGGAGATGACCCACGCCGACGGGCGCACCGGCTCGATCCTGCGCAAGGTCGTGCTCGGTCGCGCCGTCCGCGAGCGCTTCGGCCAGCCCTACCTGACGGTGCGCCGATCCGACCTCCGCACGCTGCTCGCCGCGGCCTGCGACGCCGACGAGATGATCATCGTCGACTACGACTCCCGGACCGCCTCCGTGGAGGACCTGGGCGAAGCCGTCCTCGTCACGCTCCCGAGCGGCCGGTCCTACCGGGCCGAGGCACTCGTCGCCGCCGACGGCGCGTCGTCCCCGGTGCGCGAGCTGCTGGGCGGAGGCCACCCCACGTCCTCGCCGTTCACGGTCCGCACCGCGCCGGGGCCCGCGACGCTCGGCCATGCGGGGATGCGCCTGTGGTCCTCGCCGTCGCTGCTGGTCGTGCAGATGCCCGTCGCCGAGCACGAGTCCGAGGTGGCGGTCCTCGTGCGGGGCGGCCACGACGACGACCCGCGCCACGTGCTGCCCGACCTCGCGGCCCACCACCCCGAGGTCCGTGCCGTGGCCGCACCCGCCCTCGACAGCGACGCCACGCGGGTCTTCCGCCATCACCTGCCGCTCGAGCGACCCACCCGCCACCGCATGACCGTGCTGGGCGCGGCAGCGGCCCCGATGCTGCCCCACGGGGCGCTGGCCACGTCGGCGGCCGTGGTCGACGCGGGCGCCCTCGGCGCGGCCTTCGACCGGGCCGACGGGCGCATCCTGCACGCACTCGAGGCGTACGGCCGCTCCCGGAGCCACAGCTGGGCGCGGGTCGCCGACCGGTCGTACGACTTCGCGAGGCTCTGCCACGCCGACGGGCAGCTGCGCAGGCTGCGCGACCGGCTCTGGGCCGGCGTCCCGATCGACGCCCTCTCCGACATCGCCGAGCTGCCCGCGGTCCGCTGAGCCGACGGGGTGCCTCGCGCCGGTTCGTGAGCTTCCTGCCCCGCTGACGGTTCGGCGTGCCGGAAATCCCCGCGTCACACGGAGAGAGGGCTGCATCCCCACGCCCGGCTGGGTAGCGTCTCGGCGCAGCCCCGGGCAGAGACCACCGGGCGGGGCTGGGACCCGGCGGACGCGGGGTCAGGACCGGACGGCATCGGGAGCCACGATGAACGCGACACCCAGGCGCCGGCCCACGGGCCCGCACCCCGAGCGCGCCGGCGCGATGGCCGGCACCGCCGACGAGCCGCAGGTGCCCGCCCAGCGGACCGCGGCCGACATCTACGGGGTCAGCGACGAGCAGGTCCACCGCGCGCGCATCGCCGTGGCTCGCAACGCCGTCGACTCCGACGACTGCCGCGAGCTGCTCGACATGCTCGGACTGATCGGCGACCCCGGCGAGCCCCCACCCGTGCGGCGCTGACGCCCCGCCCGGCGCTCGTCGTTCGAGCCCGGACGACCGGGTCCCGTCGACCCCTGGTGCGCGCGCTCCGGCGCGCTACCGTTCATCTCGTCATGTCGCCCGTTCCCGACTCGCCGAGCCCGCCGCCCCGTCAGGCACGGGCCGCCGCCACGCGCGAGCGCATCCTCGAGGCGGCGGCGGCCGACTTCGCCGCCGTCGGTTACCACGGCTCCTCGCTCTCGCGGATCCTCGAGCGCGATGCCGGGGTGACCAAGGGCGCGCTCTACTTCCACTTCGCCTCGAAGGAGGCCATGGCGCTCGCCGTGGTCGAGGCGATGGGCGACACCTACCGCGGTCTGGTCGAGACCGCGGCGCGCGACGACGCCCACCTCGACCCGCTGCGCCGGGCGGCCCGGCTCACCGCCGGGATCCACGACCTGCTGTGGCCCTCCCCGGTCGTCCGTGCCGGGGTGCGGCTGTCCGGGGAGGGTGCGGTCGGCCCAGCGTGGTCGTCGTGGCCCACCCGATTCTGGGAGGCGACCTTCACCGCGCTGTTCGTCGAGGCGCGCGAGCGGGGCGAGCTCCGCGGTGAGGTCGACCCGGTGGCGATGGGCCGCTTCGTGCTCGACATCTCGCAGGGAGCGTTCATCACCTCGATGGTCACCACCGGCCTCGCCGACCTGGCGCCGCGCGTGGCGCACAACTGGGAGGTTGCCTTCGCCTACATGGCCGAGCCGGCCTGGCAGGCGGGCTGGCGCGACGAAGGCGGGATGACGGCCGTCATGCGCCATCACCTCGAGCAGGGCGGTGACGTCGACGGGGGTGGGTGAGCGCTCACGGCGGGCGGTGCCCTATGCTTGCTCTGCTCCCGACGGCACCATGGCCGTGGGGTAGGGTCCGCAACCAGCGGATCACGCCCCCATCGTTCAGTGGCCTAGGACTCCGCCCTTTCAAGGCGGCAACGCGGG